TATCCTGTATTTGATTGTGTTTATCTGCAGTTAGTTACACGAATTCAGATATGGGATGAAATCGTTTAGGGATGAACGAGTTTAAGAGTTTTTAATAGTTTTAAGAGTTTTTAAGAATTTTTAAAAGTTTTAGCCAAATGTTTTATAAGATAGTATAAATATAAAAAAATACATATCGTATCACCCTTTTGATTGGTTTGAACGTAGATCAACTTTCTAAAATTAGAAAGTTTCTAAAGTAACATTAAACCCAACAAACAACATGAAATAATATCAATTATAAATGAATAAAAATAAGTAATTTTAAATTAAAAATTAATTAAAAAATTATAACTTTTATGAAAAATAAATAGTATTACTCGGTGTTTTAATCTCCATCAAATTTCTACAGAAAACCGGAAATCCAACGATTCAAAACAACTCAATCCTGCTAAGAAAAACCCAACCTCAAGACTCAGACGATTCTTCTGACTTCGACTCACTTGACTCACCGAGTGTAAACCGAACAAACCTCCGAACCTTTATGTTCTCACCGATGGCCGCAACCGTTTGCTTCACGAAATCCTTCACAAGGACGCTATCGTCCTTTAGATACGCTTGTTCAAGAAGCGTGAGTTCTCCGAGCCTTTTCGATACCCTCCCTTCCACGATTTTCTCCCTTATGTTCTCGGGTTTCGACAAAATATCCTCTCGTTGCATCTCGAGCTCTTTCTCTTTGCTCACGATGTGTTCCGGGATATCTTCGATAGAAACGTACTCCACTTTCGGACACGCCACGACTTGCATAGCTAAATCGTCGACCAATTCTTTGAACTTTTCACTTCTGCCCACGAAATCAGTTTCACAGTTGACTTCTATTAGGACCCCGATCCGGGCGTCGTGAATGTAGGATCCGATCCTACCTTCGGCCGCTAGACGGCTTGATTTCTTGTCGGCAGTCGAAAGACCTTTCTTTCGGAGATATTCTTGAGCTTTCTCGAGGTCTCCTCCAGTTTCCGAAAGGGCTTTTTTGCAATCCATCATACCTGCACCGGTTTCTTCCCGAAGTTGCTTCACCAATGCCGCCGAAATCACAGCTTTCGGTGCCCTAAACAAAGAAAAAGCGTTAGTAGCAAAACCATTTAAACCTCGAGAGTCAACTCAACCGACAATTGGGCTATTCAGAACAATCATCAAAAGCGAGTTTTGTAGAACACACTTTTTCATACCGACACTGCAACGAAATCGGTTTTACAGAACACCAAATATATCTAAATGTTCTACCAGACTGTTCTAAAGCGTTCTATCAACTTATTGTAACACCTTTACATAGGACACAACTGTTTGGTTCTGCAAATTTAAGTCTTATAAAGCAGTCTATTAAGACATATTTATATTTGGCGTCCTATAAAGCCGATTTTGTTGGTTGTGCGATATCTACTTATTAGAAATTACCAACTTACTCATCAGTGGCGGCACCAACGGCTTCGGTTGGTGCAGGCTGCTGCTCGGTCGTTGGTGCCGAGACCTTCTTTGCCGAAGTTTGTGCAGCAACTTCGGCAGCAAAATCTTGAGTTCTCTTTTCCAAGCCTTCTCCGAGGTTGAATCTCACAAACCTGTTGACTTTTATGTTTTCGCCGATCGTTGCGATCGTTGACTTTACAAAATCTTTGACCACCACCTTATCGTTCTTAATGTACGCCTGCTCAAGCAACGCCAGCTCATCAAGCCTCTTCTTGATTCGTCCCTCGACAATTTTGGCCCTAAACTGCTCGGGTTTCGACAAAAGATCTTCTTTTTGCATTTCGATTTCTTTCTCCTTTTGAATGGTTTCTTCAGGAACATCTTCCGGGACGAGAACTTGAACCTGAGGGCACGCAGCCACTTGCATTGCTAAATCGTTGACTAATTCTTTGAAAATATCTCCACGTGATACGAAATCGGTTTCACAGTTGACTTCTATGAGGACGCCTATCCGGCTATCGTGAACGTAGGACCCGATTCTACCTTCGGCCGTTGCCCGACTGGCTTTTTTGTCGGCGCTTGCCAAGCCCTTCTTTCGAAGGTACTCCTGAGCTTTGACTAGATCACCTTCGGTTTCCGAGAGGGCTCTCTTGCAGTCCATCATACCTGCACCTGTTTCTTCACGCAGCTGCTTCACAAGAGCCGCGGAGATCGTTGCTGCCATACATACATAAATATTTATCCTTTCGTTATATGACCTTCTGATAAATTTCTTTTAAATAAATCACCTTCTGACAGAAGAATGCCACTAAACTTGTCAGAAGGCTAAGGGGTTGTTTGTTTACCTCTTAATAGTTCCATTAAGAGGCAACTCTGAATCGTTAAGTGAATCTTGTTTGGCAAAGAAAAGTCTGCCTCTTAATAGTTCTAAAACCCTCTGAATGATTTTGTATCCTGAATCTCCCTTAACCATTAAGAGCCCTAATTTCATTGTACACAATTATCAGACAATTATATTTCATTTTGCACTATATCATGAGAGCCTTTTAATCATTCTGACCACTTAACCATTCTGCACCAAATCATTCATCATTTGCCAAACAGCCCCTAAGCTGGGAATAAAATTTTCATTAAGGTCGATGGCCTAAATATCCTGTGATAAAGAACTAAGTTGTGATAAAAATTTCTTGCTCGGTTTATATACATATTTGATAACCAAACACACTAAGCATGTCCCGCTCAGAAGTAGGTTATGTGGGGTAGGATGTACGCAGTCCTGTCATCTACCTCCATAAAGAGTAAAGGAGTTGTTTCTATGAAGACCCTCGACTATTTAAAAAGCGTGTGCAAAAAAAGTTATGGTGAAAACCCGAGTGCAACAAACGTTTGTTAGTTGAAGAAATCGGAAAATACGGAGAAACTTGGGACCAAAAATGTAGATCATGAATAATCCTTTAACAAAAGAACCAATACTAGAAAACGGTTACACAAGTACGAAAAGGGAAACATAGGAATATGTAAAAGAATTACGAGAAACTAAACATCCCTCTATCTAATCTTAAGGCTCTCGTAACCTAACCACGGTCAACTCCGCAACCATCCCCGTCTCACCTGCTACCTCTCCGGTTACGTTAGCTACAGGTCTCTACACATAGTCAGCTACCCTAGTTATACGTCTTCAAGAACTCTTATCAGAGGGTCATGTCCTCGAAAATATATCTAAGGCCACCATGTCCAACCTCAGCTGCTCATCCCACGTCCTCATTGGCCTGCCATTTATTATTTAAATAATAATAAGAGTAAAGTTCAATTTTGGGTCCTTAACGTTTGCAAATTTCAACAGATATTGTCCCTAAACTTCAAAAACTCATATTTGGTCCCTCACGTTTATCAATGCCCAACGGTTTTGGTCCCTCTGTCTAACGGTCGTTAGCTTTCTCCGTTAAGTCCAGTTAAATGAGGGGTATTTTAGTCATTTTCTCTATTTTCATTACATTACAATAAAAAAGCATATCCGTTGAAAATTGCAAACGTTAGGGACCAAAAGTGAACTTTACTCTAATAATAGTAATCCATTGCTATTTTTGTCTTTTTATAGAGTTGTGAAAGAATTTGAATTCCATTAGAAACCAATGGAATTATCAATTCCTTCACTCGATGGAATTTGCAAAGGCCCTCTTAGAATGGAAATCTCTATAGCAATATTCGGAAGCGGAATCAGTTGCATTCATCAAATCGTTATGCACGAAGGAATCAAACTCAAGAAGGGCGGCATTAGCAAATAAGTTATAATAAACCTTTAGTAGCGGCTTCCACGGGAGAAGGTGCACTGGCTTCGCCATTTTGCTCGGTGGCAGCTACATCATTTCCGTCCTCAATTGGCGTGGCAACTGGAATTTCCGCATCTACTTCAACTTTTGTTTCCATTTCCTCAATTTGACTCTCGATGACTTCACCGACCTGAGTTTCTGAACGCAACAAATCACTAGTTAGAGATCTTTCTTATCGGGTATAACATAAAAATAATAAATAAATAAATTCAAGCAACCAGTAGAACAATAATTTGATCGGAAAATGGTGGTAAGGGGCTGTTTGGTTGGTTTTCCATTAACTCCTGTATGTATAGCTGACTGAATAAGCTGTGAGTCCCATTAAGCTTATTAAGTCACTAACAAACAGGCCCTAAGATGACCCACTATGGTGCATACGGTGGCATGGGCCACCACTTCTTTCCTCCGACATAGTGTAAGAAACTTTAGGGTCGTGAAAGGTGCCACCGTATTATTTTGTTGGGTGCAACCGTATATTCCTTGAAACTACAATAATAACACAAGTTTCTCTTGGTAGAGTTGGTTTGCACGCTCTTTTCTCCCCTTCCATGCGCGGGTTTGGATCCCATCTGTACCATTTTCTTAGTTTTTAGCTTTTAATTCCAGGTTTATTATGTTTCTCAAAAAAAAATTGGGATGAAAGACTCGAACACAGGATCTCACATACAAAAAGCAAGAAACTAACCAACAAACCAATAATGATTTTGTAAAAAAATATCCATAGCTTCTTTTTTTTATAATAAACGGTGTCACCACTTGAAAAAATTTCTAGGTCCTCCTCTGCACAAGTCGAGGGGTCTTCATGGAAACAACGGCTCTACTCTTTCGGATAAACCTCCCCAAACCCGCCTCAGGTGGGATATACTGGGTTCATTTGGTTTGTTTTATCACAAATAGATTAAAGCAACTACAAACGTATGTGAATCATGAGTATAAGTAGGCGAAAAGCAAGAATACAAACCTTCGATCACGTTTTCCTGGATTACAGGGGCGTCTACTTGTTCAACCGAGCTCGTGATACTATTTGCCTCCTCGGGTATCTCTACTTGCTCTTCACTCGTAACGCTAATAGTTTCTTCAGAAACAGGCTCGATTTTTTCATCTCCACCTGATTCAGGAGAGTTAATACTTCATCAGAAGCTTTTCAATTTATGGTCGGTATCACGAATATACTGAAATAGGGGGCGAATCAAGTGAGAACCTCAAAAATGTTGAGAACCCGTCACAACGAATCTCAATGTATTATTTCACATGTATTTGTTTCATCTGAAGCCAGGATTTAAGGTATGGTTTCACAATGTGAAACAACACTGTATCGTTTGGTTCATTGGACGGTTCTCATTTGATTACGCCCCTATTGAAGTAACAACATAATAAAAACGTATATAACTCATGCATATAAATAGCCAAAAAGCAAGAGTGCAAACCTTCGGCTACGTCCTCGATGACAGGGGCATCTACTTGTTCGTTTGAGCTGGTGATACTACTTGTCTCCTCGGGTATCGCTACTTGTTCTTCAGGGGTAATTTCGTCAGAAACAGGTTCAACTTTTTCATCTGATTCACAATAGGTGATTCAGTCTCTTCACTAGATGGGTTTCAATTTATGGTTTACGGGTCTGTTTAGTTTGGTTTAAACTACATTTTAAAACATACGTGAATCATGAGTATAAGTAACCGAAGGGTAATAAGAATGCAAACCTTCGATCACGTTTTCCTGGATTATGGGGGTATCGACTTGTTCGCTTGAGCTAGTGATGCCACTTGTCTCCTCGGGTACCTGTACCTGCTCTTCGTTGGTAATGCTAACGTTTTCATCCTCATCTGGTTCGGGAGAAGTAATTTCCGTCTCTTCAATGGATGCTTGTGGATCAGTTCCACTAGAATCGCTTTCGTTTTCGGTTTCCACTTTTTCGTCTTCAACTAGTACGGAAGAACTTACAGTCTCATCAGAATCTCCGTCACTTTTCAATTCAACCATTTCTTTACTTTCTTGGTCAACTTGGTCAACACTGCTAATCTCGGTTGAATCCTCAACTTTCTCCCTCTCGTCCAGAAATGAAGCGATATCTTTGTTTCTACGGAATGCTACAAGGAAAGGATTCGTGGCTGTAAACACGGTTCCTTGAAGCTTGGAGTCTAAAGCTTTAGAATCTTCGTCTTTCTTCATAGTCAAGGTCACTTGTCCTCTTGCAATACGCAAGACTCGAACTTTGACTTCTTGACCGATCTCGAGCGACGAACCATCCCCCATTATACTTCCGAACCCTTCATCCGCTTCTTCTGAAGCGGGCAAAAATCCTTCTTCCCCTTCTGGAAGAGTTATAAACGCACCAGATCTTGTTTTATTCTTTACCGTCCCCTCAAGATCTTGGCCCTTCACAAACTTTGTCGTTTTTCTCCCCTCGGTTCGCTTCTGGTTTGACTTTTGACCCGTTCTTTGGGGAGGTCTAGATGTGTCACCACCGCTAGCGGGCTCACTTTCGCGCATGGTCAATGCTATTCGGCCCGTTTCAATATTAGCCTCCACCAACTTTACCTTTACCTCTTGTCCTAAAGAAACGACATCTGCAACATCCTTCACGTATCCATCACTCAACCGTGAAACGTGAACCAGCCCGTCCGTAAAAGCTCCAAAGTCGACAAAAGCTCCAAATGGTTGGATTGATCTTACTTTTCCGGTGAAAGTCGCACCAGGAACCAATTCTTCATCTTTCACAGGCGGCATTTCGCTCTTTCTAGCGGGCCGTGATCGTTGTTTAGACTTGGCAGCGGACTCTTCAGCATTCGACTTATCAACGGATGCTGTTGTTTCTGACGTTTGAACGGAATCTTGTTCTGAAACAGCGGAATCTGGCTGGTCAGCTTGTTCTACAGCTACATCCACATCCACCCCGGTGGCTGATGCTATTCCAAATCTTGGTTTATGGTGTGAGCCAAACGTTCTGATATGCGGAAATAATCTAAGGGATGTCGATAAAGGCAATACACAATCTTGAGCATATAGGGTTCTTCTCGAAGATCTTCTTAAATTACAGCATCTTATCAAACGGTTGGTCGTTTTTGTATCAAAGGTGCATCCAGGGATAAGCGAGATACTGCTTGTTGACGAAGGGATAACGGGCGTCATTTTGTGATCTCCAAACGTGAATCGGATTCCGTTCAAGGAAACTACACTAATTCTTCATCAGTTTCTTCACCTGTGGAGCAAATGCAACTCATAAGCTATCAAATCCACATTATCTTGAATATCTTATAGATGTTCTTAACGGAACCGAGTATTCTATTAGAAGATAAGATCTCATTTTGCTCACGAAAAGAATCGAAACAGATTGCATATGATCACATTCAAATGGAATAAGTAGATACTACAGAATTCATTGCGATTTCACTAACAAAAACCGCAAGTTCAAAACAGATTCTTGAAATACTTAATATTCAACTGGAAATGAGAGAATTTATAACCTAGAATCACACAATTACATCATTTCGAATCCATTCGATTTGAATTGAATCCTCAAGGATGGTTAGACATCCTCAAGAATCCAAGTAATTCACAAACCCACAAATTTTTTACCACAATTCGTGATTCTAAAGCACAAATGATTGATGAACTGATGGATTGTAATGTATCCTAATGAATTCAAGATCAAAAACCACTTTCCCAGTTTCATCCACAGTTATATCTCCTTCAATTTGCAGAGTTTTACCGATATGAATCAAAATTTGGGGAAAAACAACCAATTCTAATCCAGATAAGCTCGACGATTTTTCAACAAAACAGCATCGTGAAGTGGGGATTACGAACAAAACATCCTAGGGTTCTAAAACAAACAAAATTGGCTTTAAGTTCATCGTCAAGAAACTATAAAAAGAATCAAAACGACATCAAACTTTGGCAAATTAAGACTGACCCATCACTCACAGAGAAGTGTTTAGACGTTAAATCGAGAAATTAGAGATACCCAAATGGAAAGAGGATGAAATTTACCCTAAAGAGAAGAAGCAGGTTCCTGAAATGAGGGTTTTAGGTTGGTGCTGCTGGTGTGTAATCTATCTCCTTGGTGAATGACTGAAGATGTAAAAGAGGGAAATGAAAGGTGGGTCTTTAAACCCTTATCTCATCATCCTCCGATTTCCATAAAAAAAACAATTTATAATTTTTATTTTTTATGCATTTATTGGATTTGGAAGTGGTGGCCGGCGGTGAAACCTGCGGTAACAAAATATTTTCCTCCCCAGATGATTCTTTAACATCAAAGGTGGAAAAACGATAAGGGAAAAATAGAAATTTAATTTTAAAAATCGATACTTGTTTTATTTACTTACCGGGTAAGATTTTAATCCATCAAAACGGCATCGTATGCAACAATTTATCCGGTAAGCATTTACCGTGGTAAAAGTCGTTGTCCTTACTTACCGGGTAAGACTCTTGGTCCTCATCTTGTTCTTACCGAATAAGATTCTTGGTACTTACTATATTCATTTGATAATGTAATGTGATTTGGTAAGCACTTACTCGGGTAAACATTTGGTAAACAGCCCCAATGTTTATCAAGATAATGGATCGGTTTTGGAGCGTGTATTTCATTCTATAATCAGTTCCAATGATATTTTTGGGAGATGTTGATCAAAAATTCCATGGATGTGTACGATCCTATCAATTGATGATGTAGTCCTTGAATCCCAAATTGTTGGGGATGAGTTTATGGGGGTTTAATATAAATTCTAACCCCTAATTGCTATGGAAATCGTTGATTAATTGTTCTGGAAGTGAGACCTTTGAACAGAGGTTGTGCAGGCAAAACAGTAGCTCACACGGGTAGCGTCATGACGTAGGCCGCACAAGCTACCGTTTCTCTGTTTGTGAGTTTTGTGTAAAGAGCAGTTTGAGGGCTATGCTTTGGACCTTAACTTGAGGGATTAGTAGTGGTTCACTCGGGGGTTATAATTGAGGTATTATCTCAGCGTTTGGATGACTCAATTCAGGTGTTCGATTGGTGTGATCCTAACCTAAGGTGTTCGATTGGTGTGATCCTAATGAGTTGGTCACAAGTGTGCATGACCATAAGTGTGATCAATCGTTGCAACCGTGTGCTTTAACTTACAATTGTGGTGATTTTGTTTATTTTAATTATGCTTTAAATCCACTGATTATCGTGTGAGCTTTTGTGTTAGAGGGAATTAACTAAACCTTTGGCCTAACTCTCGTTTCTATAAAACTGTAAACATTTTCAGGGGAGTATCATGTTGAAAAGCTCTAGTAAACGTAAGGGAAAGTGTGAGCTATAAGGCTTGGAGTTGGGCCACTGTTAGTTAGGGAACTGCTTTGACTCGAGCTTAACTTTCTGTAATAATCTTAGCAGTATTACTTTATTCTGATGTAACTATTAAGATTAAGTTGAACTTGTAGACTTTGTTTCGGTAATTGTACTTGTTGGTTTACCAGTGTTACGGTATTGGTTATTAGACGTCTATTTTGTGTTTGCGGTTGTTACAATTTAGCTTTTCAAGTAGTTTGTCAAAATAGTTTTTTTGTATGTATTTATAACACGGTTCCGTTTCATACCCATCGTTAGTTTTAATTTCGACCCCTTTCTCTTCGATAAATAACTCAATAACATAATACAGAATGATCATTTTGATGACAGAAGTTACAAATATGATGGTCGAGACATTGGATTCTGTATATTTTATTGTGCTTTTTCTTTTTCATATTTTACAGTTAAATAAGTAGAATAATGTGTATATGAAAATAATAGATACAATTGTTTGGAAACTAACCCGTTATTAGAATAAGGTTTGGGAAACGAATTGGGCTTTTCTTGTATCATGTCAGACCAATTACGATTAATATACACACGAGCCCTAATTGGTTGTACCAACCATTTATGACCGATCCTGCTAAAATGGGCCGGACTGAACGGTCCCTTAACCAGTTCACTAGAAAAGCTATGATTGGTTGTATTTGACCGAGTATTAATAGGTCTCTGCGGTCCCGATCCTTGCGGTTCACTATAACAAAATCGGGTTTATATGACACTCTCAATTTCTAAGCGTCTTAATAGACCTCTTTATAATACTTAGTTTATAAGACCAAAAAAATAAAGCGTCCTATCTAAAGGTGTTGTAATAAGTTTATATAACATTTTTTGACGTCGTAATAAGTTTTTTAGGACACTTTTAATATAAAGCGTCCCATTAGCAACTTTGTAGAACACTATTTGAAAAAATGTTCTATAAAAAATCGAGTTTATGGGACACTTTCAAAAAATGTCCTATAAAGTTGCTAATGCAACATTTTGTATTAAAAAGGTCCTAAAAACTTGTTAAAACGTCCAAAAACGTCATATAAACTTATTACAACATCTTTAGATATGACGTTTTATATTTTGTTCCTATAAATTAAGTCATATAAATCGATCTATTAGGACACTTAGAGATTGAGGGCGTTCTATAAACCCAATTTTGTTGCAGTGGTTCATGCTAGATTGGCCATCTCTATCGATAATCGGACCTAGATTGGTCCTAGAATTTTTGGTCGGGACAGGAACAGCCAACCCGGCTTTAAAGGGACGGAGTTGGGACCGACCTGGCGTTGTCTAGGACCAATTTTTTTTTATCATCTCTCTGGTAGGGGGATCGGTTGAATTTCAAGATTTTCTAGCCATTTGGAGGTCTTTTTGGCCCTTTTTTTTGGCTTATTTGAGCATAGCAAAGTATGAATAAATCTTATTGAGCGGGAGAAAATAACAAGCTTATGAAATGCTAAAAAACTTTAAATATTTGCTATAATTCGTAATTTCGACTTGCGTTTTGGTTTCTATTTGTGTGTTCACGTACTTTGGCCCCCCTAATCTTATATTTGTACTTTTAGTTGCCTTTCCAAATGAAATCCAACGATCCTCGTTCTTCGTCCGCCTCCAATCTCATTGTTCAAGCAACACATTCTATACTTCGTAACATAAACATATGTCAAAAGGTATCCAATAATTTGCATGAACGTAAACACATATCGGTTAGCATGTATCTTAGGGGCCGTTTACCAAACGCTTACCCGGGTAAGCGATTACCAAGTCACACTACCTCACTGGATGAATATGGTAAGAACAAAAACTCTTACCCGATAAGAGCGAGACAAAGACCAAGAGTTCAAACCCATAAACGAATAAGAATCCCCTTGTGGCCAAAGAGGTTCAAATGCGGTGACTCTAAGTAGATGGTCGTCCTTGCAAAGTAGATAGTCGTCCTGAGATTAGTCAACTCGAATAACAGATTGAATATAAACATGACTCTCAAACTTTTCACTAAATTTCAAAGAACAAAATTGAAGCTGTGTGGGCTTTTCCTCTTGTCTTTTTGATAGTGGGCTATAAAGAAAATGGGCTTAATGAAGATTTGACCAAGTAATTAGGCTTATAAGTCCTTATGATTTGCAATTATATATTATATTGAACACGATGAGATAAAAAGCTGTCATTTAGATCTTAGCCGTTTAAATGGAACTTAATATTCAATCTCAGCCCTTTAAATTTTGGTTACATATGATAGTTATTATTGAATTTTTAAAAGGTACAAATCTTGATACATTATGTACAATTTTTGAAGTTCTACAACCTCCTTCGTTCAAAATGATACTTACCAAATAATTTTTTTTATTATTTTTAAATTATATTTTATACTCTTAAAATTAGTTATTTAATTAGTTCTATATCTTTTTTTTTCATTTTTCTTTTATATCCTTCTCATATTAAAATAAATAATAGTATATTAATTAAAATATACTAAAAACGTTTCTTTGTTTATAAATTATTCCATTATAATTGTCTCTTCAATGCCTTCAAAATGAGCGCGATATCTGATATTTTTGGATCTAAAGCTATATTTCGACCCAGACGTTTTCGGGATGCTTCCAATGCCAATAAAAAGTAACCCATTCACAAAAGCAAAACAGATTATAGAGCAAGATTTGATCAGCAACACTGGGACTGAGACAGCCCAGACTCCTACGAGAGGCCCAAACTCTGTCTTACGTAAAGTTGTCAGAGTACGATTAACACCCAATTTTTCCGATTCGACGGTTCGATGTATGATTTATCATATAATATTATTAAATATGATAAATATGTACTGAGTTAATTCTAAAACTTATTTTTAATATCTTAATATTTCATTATACACCCCTTATCTACACACCATGTACAATTTGTTAAGCACTTTCCAACCCTCCACGCCCACTCCCCCGAATCTCTCCTTAACCCACGATCAAGTCCCAAAAAGCACGCTTAAATCCTAAACCCGCGTCCCCAAAAGCCAAAACCATAACAAGTCGATTCACTCTATCGATCCCTTTCTCCCAATTCACGCTCTCCCATTCTTCTCTGGTTAACTTCTTCAAATCCTCGACGAAAAATTCTTATTCAATTGATTCCACGAGTCAATCTATTCAAGAAAAGTCAAATTTTCCCAATCACCATGATATTAGAAAGGAAAGGCGATGTCGTGCAGGTAAGCCAATTCACTTGCTATCACTCCTTCCTCAAAAGCTTCAGTAAACATAGCTTCCTCTTACTCTTGGATATCTGATCAGAAATAGCCCTGGTGCATAACGTTACAGCACAATAGATCGGGCACGACCTTATTGTGGACGAGATCTATGAAACCAAATTTCTTTTCCATGGCAAAACTTCAATCGGAGACGGGTGTGTGCGTTTTTATGTTTTCTAGCACTTGTTTTATTGTGTCCTTGGAGTCTCGGCCATAACTACAGGGTTTTTTCGGTCCATTGTACAACAACCTCGGATGGTGGTGGAGATTCATCCTACTACCAATACAAAAATTATCAAACATGAAAAGTTCTGAATTTTTGCAATTGCAGACATTACGCTCTTGGCTTTTGGAACCAGCTTCCCACAGATCTGTCTGGCTGCCATTGATGCAATACGAAGTATTGGCCAACTCTATGTTGGAGGTTCAATTCCATTTTTATATCCTCTTATCTTATATGTTGGATTTTATTGGCTCAATTTGTCACAGAAGACTGCAACAAAAAGTAGCAAGTCATTTTGAGTGCACAGGTTTGTGTCTAGACTTACAGACAGTTGTATGATATGGCTTTATTTC